TTAAGACCACAAGCCGAGAAACTTCATGGTGGTTATAGCAAAACCCCTGAAATTTAGAGCACAGGCCCCCACCCTCCATCTCCAAGAGGAGATGACCCCTTTCACTTTTCTTCTGTATGTGACTGGGATTTTGGTGTTGGGGGTCTTTTCCACTCCTGCTTCCTCTTGCCCTGACAGTCACACTCAGCTGGAATGGGGGAGTGTTTTCCCTGGAGACCTGTAAGTCAGTTTTTAGGGTAGAACCAACCAGTTGCTTTTAGCCAAGGCCATGTTTTGGGATTTTTTTGTGCATTCCTGAACATGAAAGAGTAATTCTTGTTGCTAAAAGCTGCTTTCATCTGTGAGTGTTAAAACTGCCAGAGATGGGTTCCCAGGATAGATGAAATGTAAAGTAGCTCCTTTTCTTCTAAGAGAGACTGCATGCATATAAGCTGTGTGGGAGTTTGATTTCAGTTTTACCCCTTCTTTTTTGCTGCTGATACACATAGCCTTAGTTGCCTGGTCAGTAAGAATAATAAATTTGGTGGTCTGAGGCTGTTTATCATCACTCTGGACCAAATTGATTCCAGAGAACTTTCAGAGGAGGTAGTAGGGTCTGGAGTAAACCTATCTTTTAGTGATGAATATAAATCCCCTTACTTCCAAATTCATTTTTATGTCAGTATCTCTGTTTGCATGCATGCACCAGTTAAGCAGTATATTATTTTCTTTTTCCATGATTTCAGAAGGTTGACTCACTCAAGTGGATTTATGCACATGCTTTGTTTTCTCTGATTGTAGTTGGTTTGTTGTTTGGTTTGGGGTGTTTTTTGTTTATTTTTGGGCTTTGTTTTTGCTTTTAATTCTGTTTTCTTAATTTTTTAAATTTTATTCATCTTGTGGAAATAATGATTTCTACCTAGCCCCATAGTTCAGGCATTCTTTCGTCCTTTTCTGGGTATCATGCTCCAGCACCTACTGTTTGTCCATGAAAAGAAAATCAGGTTCAGAAGCAACTGAGCAGAGTATGGCTTGTTGTCACACTGAGGCAGTCGTCCCTCTGTAAAATGCTGGCCTGGCAGAGATTTTGTCATAACTCTGGGGTTTTCTTCTTTCTGAGGCATTTTTGTGTGGTATCCTTTTCATTTCATTTTTCATTCCTTTGCTCCTGTGTTAATAGGAACCACCATATGCTAAGAACATTAAAGCATGAGGTGATCGTGGCTTTTTAGATAACAAGGGAGAAATACATTTTAAAGCCAAATAAGATTTTTTTATAACAGTAGGAAAAGTTTGGTTTCATAGGTCATGGATTAGATATAATGCTTGAGAACAACCTCACTGTTTGAGCTGGGGACAGCCACAGCCCTTGTCACTCAGCAGAACATCCAGGCACAGGGAGAGAGAACAGTGGTGTGGGCATTGCTTTCTGCTGCAAAAATACAAACGTGACTGATTCCACCAATGTAGAGAAATTAAATTGGACAAGGGCTGTGTAAACTGCTACAAGGAGTTTACTCATAATATGGTGACAAAATAAGGAAGGGCTCTCTCTGTTGGTTCTAATGAATTTGTGACTGCTTCACTGGTGACTTGGCTTCTCTTCTGTGAGTGATGTTGGTAGTTAGACACTGGTAAATGGAGCAAGGATGAATTGTTACAGTCTTTGGACTCACTTTTCACTGTAGCCTTGGCTGCTGCTGAAACATCCAGTCTGTGCAGCCCCTCAGGATGGCCCAGTCATGGTGGAGGGACAGGATTAGGGATGGGGAAACAAAAGCTACCTGCAAGCTGGGCAGGAGGAGGAGTGGTGGAGCAGGGCAGGAGTTGGCTGTGGGACTGAAAATTCACTGAGGAGATGTGAAGCACCAGGCAAGAATAGGGATCAGGATGGGCAGACGATGCCTAGAGGTGAATGAATGTTTAAGAGGACTTGATTTAAGTGTGAGGGCTAGTGGTGATCACCCTGGCAGCTTTCCTGGGACTGGCTGCACTGGGAGCATCCCTACATATGGGAACAGTGATTCCAGGCCAGACTTGTGAGTGCACCTCTCATTTTTGGTGGCAGTAAGAAATCAACCTTTCACTTTTCAGTGAGCTATTGTGAGAAATTATATTTACTTTGAAAAAGTTTAAAAAGGTTTATTAAAACTTTGTCAAAAATTACAACAGAAGACTGAATAGAGAGAATAAACCCAGTTCTGGGAGCAAAGGATTTTCTCTACTATTAAAGGATTTTGTTATCTACACAATGGATGTTCTGCTTTTTAACTCTTTGGCCTCTCTTACAGTTTTGTCTATTGACTCTTTCTTTGCTGTCTAGTGGTGGTGATTACTTTCCATGACCTTGATTGGAGGTCAGGTGTTGCTGTAGTAATGAGCTGACTTTCTTAAATGCCCCAGCCATCTCCTGAGAACAATGTAAATTTATAAAACTTCTCTTAGTATACACATAACATTTGTTCTTTAATTGTGAGAGCCGACTATTTCATTGCTCATTTATTAGACTATGAGTTCAGTGAGAGCAGGGGCATGAAAAACCTGGCAGGGGAAACGATTTTATTCTACCCTTGGGCTTGAAGGTGTGGTGTGTTGCTGCCAAGTGTCTGTAGAGCCTGAACCACAGTGGCCACAGCCAGGCTGTAACTTTAATCCTTCTTTCTTCACTGTGAGGCTTCCTTTTTGTGCTAATCCACTGATAGGAACATGGAGGTAAAGATATCACCCTGAGAACCACCAGTGGTCAGACTCAGGCTAAATTAATTTTCTTTTTAGCCAAGAGAATTAAGAATGCAGGAGTTACTTCCTCCCAAGGCACAGGGGCTAAGAAGTAAAACTGAAGAGGGCTTTTTGCTCCACAGGGGAAAGACAGGTAGGAGGGCTCTGGCAGAGGCTCTTTGAAGCACATAACCTTTGCTAGGTGCATCTCTTGGTAGTTTTTGCACACCAGTTATTTATTAAAAAAAAAAATTAAAGCTGTGCTCCATGCAGTAATTGAGAACAAACAAGGAAACCCAGGAGAGCCAGTGTTTCCACCAAGAGTACATGGAAAATAGGAAAAATTGCAGTAAAATGAGGGGGCCAGTCACAAGGCTGTATCAGGTAAAAAAGTGATGTGACATTTCTGTTTCTGATTTTTGATGCCTTTCTGCATATGTGGTTTGTTTCCAGTTATAGAGGTAGATGGCTGTAAATAATAACTTAAAAAGAAGGAGCCCTTGGGAAAGAAAAGGATAAGTAGGAACAGTTAATGAAGAAGATAAAAAAAACCTCATCATGGGAGATGCATGTGGTTTTCCTGATTCTGCAAAGTATTTTTAATCTCTTGTCCTGGAATGAGTGTTTTGCAAGCATGTTCTGCAATAAGTGTGGGTTGTAAATCTCCTTGCCTACTCTAAACTGGGAGAAGGCATTTCCTTTGGGAAAGAATGTTGGGAAAAACGAGCAGGAAAATGTTCATGACTGTAAGTCGGTGCGTGCCACGCTAACCCTCCTATCTTTCATTCACATATTTTTTGTATTTGAATTAAGCAATGTTTCTGTGCATAGGAGCAAACAATGCCCAGAAGAAATCCCTGAGTAGATGTATGAAAAACCCCATGATTCAACGTTGAAACAGATTTAAAGCTGTTGCTACTTATCATGGCTGATATAAAATGTACATTGCTGATTAATGAAATGGTTTTGGTAATCTCCTTGTTGATATATCAACTGTCCTTTTGCCAGATCAGCATCAAACATTTGGCTAAAGCTGAATCTATAGCAGTGGGAATTTCATTGGCACGAGCAGAGTTGTGATGCCAGATGTGTTTGGGTTCTGAATGTAAAGGTACAATATTACATGGCTTTATTATGAAGCTGAACGCTGTGTGAGATAAATCATAAAAGCAAACCTGTTTATTTCCAAGAAAAATGTGTAATGGATATAAAAGCATGAGTGTTTCCATTTAAACTAATGAGTGCAATTTATCACTTAGCTCTGCTTTTCTTTGTTTTGCAGCTCATGGGGCATTCTGAATGGGATCACAAACGAGGACCCAGAGGCTCACAGGTCAGCTGCTCAGTATTTTGTGTTTGATTTTGGCTTTTGCTACATTTGAGGCATTCAAGCAAGTTTTCCATCTTGAGTTTGGCAAAGTTGTTAATTTTGTTGACATTTTCAGGGTTTGGAGCAATGGAAAAAGGCATAAAACCATGACAGCTTTCATTAATATAATTTTTGAGCTGTAATTCAAACAGTTGATCCAGACAGAGCTGAGTCATCCAACAGAAAGGTTTTTCTCAGCAGCAGTAAGATGGATTAGATGTATGGAGAAAGCATTTCTTACTCAGCTGTCTCCATCAGGACATCAAAGCAATGCAATTTCAAACAGTGTGGGTATGTTTTGTTTGGTTTATTTTTTTTTAACCTGACGAATTTGTTAAAACTTGGATGGCTCTCTCACCAAGAATCCTTTCATTATTGATCAAGGTGTTGGAACTGTGTGGGGAGGTGCAGAGAAGCCATGTGTAGCCACTGGTTTGCTCTTGACCTGTCAGTGGAAGGAAATTATGCCAGTAGTGTTAATGGTATCACAATCCATTCCAAAATTATCTGTAGTAACTCTCTCTTGTAATTATCTGTTACAATTGCTGCAAACAAGACATCACTACCAGCATTGATGTTCAGGAATTTTCCTGCTTGGGTAAAATAGCCTTTCCTCTCTAGTGCTGGAAGAACAGAAATACATTATTGGAGCTCCAGCCTTTTGTGCTTGCTTTTACCTCAGGTGAAGGATTTTCACGTGGATACTTTGTACAAATGACACTCCAGAGGTGTCATAAAAGCATTAAAGGATCTATAAAAAGGTGGGAAAAGAAAACTGTAGACTCATAGAACAGTTTGGGTTAGAAGAATGTTAATCATCCAGTTCCAGCCCTCTGCCATGGGCAGGGACACCTTCCACTATCCCAGGTGACTCCAAGCCCAGTGTCCAGCCTGGCCTTGGGCACTGCCAGCGATCCAGGGGCAGCCACAGCTGCTCTGAGCACCCTGTGCCAGGGCCTCAGCACCCTGACAGAAAATAATTTCTACCTGACATTTAATCTAAACCTACCTCAGTGGCAGTTTGAAGACATTGCCCCTTGCTCTCTCACTACAGTTCCTGATGAAGAGTCCCAAAATGACCCAGCCTTTCTTATTACCTTGTGTTATCCTAGTGCCCAGACACAAAAACCAAGGAAGAAAAGGAAAGAAGTTTCATTAGAGAGAAGTAAATATGCCTCAGTTATTCCACTGTAGCTTTAGATTCTCTCTTTTACATGACTCTGAAAAATTTCTAGATAGGAATAGCATTAAACCTAATAAAATTAATTTCCTTAAAAGGGTAGGAGAAATTAAGGAGGTTCTGATTTTTTGCAGAATAGAAAAGACTTTTTTTAATCCTTTTGTGATTCAGTTACATCGTTGCCAATTTGTGTCCTTTAAAAAATGCACCTGTTGTAAAAAAACAAGATCTTGCTAAAAAATTAAGGTGAGTGATGTGTTAGGTATACTTAAATACCTTAAAACCTAGAAAGGAAAAAAAAAATGAAGTGAAATCACTGGTTTACCATAATGTAAAACTAAAATCCACATACAAGCTCCTGAAGTTACTCTATCAAGACTCATTAAAAAAAGCTCTGATGCAGTGAAGGGTGGTTTGTTTTTTTTTTGAGAGCTAGTAGGTTTTCTATGGCATGTGTTGAAACATGAGGGGAAGCTGCTACAGTGCATGTCATACTTCTTAATGGCTCACTTGGAAAACATGTTCCTTTCCCGCACGTGGGAGTGAAATGCAAAGTGCTGGAGTTCCAGGTAGAGATGGATCTCAAGTGAAATGCACTGAGGCCTATGGGAATTTCTGTTTGCAGCACTTTGTCTCATGATAGGCATCTGCAATTCAATAGAATGTTAATGGCACAAGCAAAAAGCTGTCTTTACAGTATTTAACTTGCTCATGACCACCACTGCACTCCCCTTTTGAGACTTACCACATGTATGTGTATGTATGTTGTAGGATTCCTTTTCTCTTAGAATAATTATACTATTAAGGCTGCTGTAATTGGATTGAATTATAGGTTGCCTTACAAAGAGCAGGGAGTTCCTGGTACATACTTGCTCTTTTTTTTTTTCTTTATTTTTTCATCCCTGAAGTCAGTGCTGCTTGCTGTAAGTGCTTTGTGCTGGGAATTTATGGATTTGAAATTAAGCAGGAAGAGCAAAGTGAATTTCATTACATTTCATGCTTAACTTTAAAGATTAATACGTGTTAGCACTAAGAATTTAGGCATAAAACTTCAAAACTGAGTTCCAAATGAGACATTCCGAGGTGTTCAGGAATATTTAATCCACCTAAGGAAATGATTCTCGAATATATACATGCAATCTGTCGAACCACATCATGTGAGGGGAAAATATCCATCCCGTTTGTAATGTTGGCACGTGCCACAAGAAAGTGTAAGTAGCAGAATTCATCCTTGGAATATTATTGCTCTGCAGAAAAAATATGCAAATTGCCCTTTAATCATTGTACTAGAACACAGTGCTTGATGCTGCTGAGATCTTTCAGGTGGGACCCATAGCACACTTTGTGCACACGTTTTTATGAGGGCTCCTGGATGTGTGGGAGTAATTTGCTGCTCTGTCATCAAGACTTGTTTGGCTTGCTGGAGATGTAGGCGTAGCCCCAGACTCAGTGAAATCGAGCAATCCTTCCTCCAGTGCTGCAAAAGCACGATGATGGAGAGAGAAACACGGGTCCAGCCTTTTTAATTCTCTTTAACTATAAAAGCTTTCAATTATACATCCGAGGTGCTGCGTTTTACCCCTCCAGTTCCTAAGCAACAGCTATTTTCAGATTGAGTGTGTCTGGTGTTGTTCTACCTACTCCAGGCTCCTTCCTGCGAGGTGGCTGGTGGCTGCTTGCTGCCTCAGCCTCTTGCTGTGGCACTGCAAGGAACAGATGCTTTAGAGGAGCAGCAGGAGCTGGGCTCTGACCACTCTCCACCTCACAGCTCACACAAACTTGAGTGCTTCGGGGAGCTCTGCCGTTCTACAATGAAGAGCAGGAGTGAGAATTAAGGCTCTTGCCGCTGGTTTGGGACAAGAAGCCTTTTTGTCAAGTCTGGCAAAGCCTCTAGAGCAGATTCAGGAGGATGAGCCGGAAATCCCTGTACTTGCTGAAGCGCAGGTGGGAGTCCATTCCCGCTGCTGACCAGGTACTGTGCTCTGGGAATCTGTTGTGTCTCAGTGTGCCACTGTAAAGAGAATTTCAGTGACCTAACGGGGGTGTAGGGGTTCTCTGGACACAGGGAGAGCCAGCTGCTCGTTGTTTGTCGTTTCCAAGCTGAATGCTGCAAAACGTTGGTAAAGCTGATTTTGCAAGGGCATGTGCTTGTGAAGGTGGAGATGCCATGGCAGCCCACTAATGTAGATGCATTTAACCAAAAAAGTCTCCCTGTCTCAAAAATGAGACTTTTCTAAAGGCTTTAGGGGTATTTTAAACTGAATGGCTAAGGGAAATTGTAGTCTACTGTCGATGGGTTGGTGCGTGACTTTTTAGTGTTTCATATCTTTCATATCTTACATACATCTGTGTGTATGGGGTCACTGAGGCATTTTTAGAGTCCTCTTGGTTGATGTGTCATTCCAAGTGTGCTAACCAAGATGAGAGTAAAGCAGATGCAAACAGAACCTATGTAAACATCTGCTGGGAAAAGCAAATACTGTCACCAGACTCAGGACTAAGATGTGATGAATGGCAGTGTGATTAGTATATTTACTACTTCTTGCTCTGGGCACTCCAAGATTCTCTTATTTTTTTGTTCAATACTTTGCTTGGGATATACAGATAATAAAAGAAATAATTACAGAAATAATATTGGTGAGCTAACAGCTCCACTCTCTTCTCAATCATAATTCCATTTCAGTTTTCCATTTATAAAACAGTTGATTTATATGAATGGTAGTCTTTATCTGTAGTAAAGAGACAATTGTTTGACAGGAAGAACAACAGAAATGCCAGTTTTTGAGAAGCATCTTCCTGTGCATTTTTATTAAGAGGGAGAAGGGCAGGAAAGATCACATACCATAATTTATGTAGATTTTAAAGATAAATAATGCCACTTGGAACTTTTAGAGATCTCAGAAATATTGTTTGTCAAAAAAAAACAAAACCATGCTGTCACATTATTAGTCACAATAAAATAAGGCACTGTTGATTAATACAGTTTTATTGTACTGAAAGGAATTGAATTGATCCAGATCAGCCCAGCATTTTTAAATTTCACAGAAAAAAAGCATAAATAAATGCTCTGTTAGGAAGTGAATAATTTGGGATCTTGTTTCTGTTAAGAAGATGCAGAGACACTAATGTTATTTCGAAGGAAAGCTGGTTTTCAGCCTCACTTTTCCAGCATTTCCTTTGAATCATTCTAACCCTAATGTTGCATTGCATCATACATTCTATTGTAACACAGTTTGTGGAAAAATAAATATTCCTCACTTAGGTTTGAGGTGTGCAAAGCTGCACTGAGCTGTGCATCAGTTCCACCATCAGTCCCTCAAGCCCTCTGCAGGGTTTTAAAAGAGGAAAGGGAATTTCCCTGACCCATCTGCCACTCTGGGAGAGGGAGATTCAGAAAGTGATGCAGGGAAACACTTGAGCATAGTTTGAGTCTGTAAGGACTAGATGAATGCAATTACTGTGCAAGATGACAGCCCCAAAGAGGCAACTTTCTGAGTGTTTTAGGCTGGTCCTGTTCACAAGCTACTGTATAAAAGTAGCACCCTGCCTTTTGGTGCAAATCCATTCTTTAGTCCTTAAAGGGATGCAATCTCTTATAGTGTTCTAGGCTGACCTCGACAAAATGACTTTATGTTTTGACAGGTAAGCAGTAACACTGTAGGTTGCTTCTCTGCTCAGAGTAGATAAAATATATTTGTGTTAACAAATAACAAAACCTCTCCAAATGGGCTTTTGCCACCTAAAATTAAAACAAAAAAAAAAACAAAACAAAACAAACAAAAAAAAAAGTAAAGGAAGGAGATAAAATCAAACTGCAAAATTGGGATATTTGGCTTGATCTTGTTCCTAGTGTAAAATGATGTGGCAGGTCTGACTTTTAAGAAAGTGGAAGCTGTAAGTCCACAGTCAAGTTTGATACTCTATTTGAACATATTTTCTGGGGTTTTTTTAATCATAGAGTGATTTTTTTTTCCTCATTTTGCATACTCTGCATGCAATTAAATGACACCCAGAGCTGTTTAGGCAAGGCTGAGCAGCCTGAGAAGTAAGGGTAGAGAAAAACCAAGAGTGGTTATGATGTCTATAGAAAATATAGTTGGAGGTTGTTGGTTTGGGGGATTTTTTAGAGCTAGGTTGTTATATAATTTCAGTTTTGATCTTTTGAGCATTGTTTATGCTCTCAGACACTACATCACAGAGGTCTCCATGGTTTCCAGGCTCTGGTATGACAAAGGAATTTTCTGCTCATTGTTTTGTATTTTATGGGTATGAAAGAGTGAGGAAAGTAGATTTAACTGGGAACCCTGATTTAGATCTCTTTTGTTTTGGTTGATGAAAAATGTCTGATCTTCCTGTTCATCTTTATCCTGGGGATGTTCTGCATGGGTAAATTTAAGCTAAATAATGATAAATTAAATACTATCTAGTTGCCTCTATTTAGCAAATCGTAATATTTCTTAGTTCTTTAATCTTGAATGGCTTTGTCAATAATTTCAGAAGGAGTTACTTTTATATAAGTAAGGAAAGAATTTGTGAATGCTTTTCTTTCTTGTCCATCCAGCTGTTCAGATTGCTTGAAAGCCATCTCTGAAGTTTCAGTACAGGGGTTTGGGGAGTAATTCTATGTTGGTTTTATTTGGTGTATGTGTATGTGCCTGAGGATCTTGTTTCTTAGACCCATCCTAATTTTTTATTCCTGAGAACTGCAACTGAGAATGCTTTCACTGAAAGGATATGGATTTAAAATGTTGTGGTAGCCAGATGAGCTAGAGGTGCCAAATATTTGCTGTAATGCTGTTGAGTATTTCCACCTACCTGTTATTCCCTATAAACTTAATGAGCTGTAGCCTTTGAGCATAAGTTGGTTTTGATACTGGTCCTAAGACAGGAAAAATCTTCCCACATTTTCCCATGGTGAAAACTTCTAATTGTTTTGTTGGTGGCTGTGAACTTAAAAACACAAACTAAATTTCCACAATGATGTAAGAAGAACATGACCAATAGTTGCTACAGGGGTTTATATACTTTATATATTTTTATATATTTTTTAGATAGTCATGTATTTACATATATTTTTATAGCTGTGGATATTTGAAAGGAATGTACGATGCAGTTCAATAAAAGCAGTAATATTTTTTTTAGATAGGAATTAATGCTTACAGCAGTGTGAGCAGTGGTAATGCTTCTGCAGCATTAGATTGTGATGGATTGGTGTAAAACCCATGAAATGATGCTTCCCTTACCTGCCAGTGATTTACATCACAGCTGTGCCTAAGGCAGTTTGCATGCACAGTGCAATATCCTGTTCCTTACCATTGATGTGGTAGGTGGGACAAACTTCCACAGGGTTTGTGGAAGGGTGCTCAGCAGCAAATGAACTGATCCTGAGTCATAACTGCAAAATGATAAACCAAGGAATTTCCTGGGTTTCATATAACATTGCATCATGCAGCCTCCATATTCACTGTGTATTCAGTACAGAGCAGGGTCCTGCTGAGACACATCCATGCAGTGATCCTTGCACCCAACCAAATCCCTTCTACTTCACCTGAAACAGTTTACAATTTAAAAAAAAAAATTAGGTTTCCTGTTAAGAATGTTTTTGTGGGTCTTCACAGTTCTTTATTGTTAATAAAACCTTACATGATCCTTTCATTCATCAGACAAGCTTTTGAAGCTTTAGTGGCAGAGCAGAGATTTTCAGGGTTTGGGATGTTATGAAAAAGAGGCCTCGTGGCAGGGTTGTGGGCTGGTTGGAATATGGGGCTGGGGGAGGCGAGCTGCTTTTGCACAGCAGGAAAGGTGCAGGAAGCTGAGCCTGGGATTAAGAAACGACCTAGGAAATTCTTCCTTGCTTTCTAATGCAGCAGATGAGTGATACAGAGTAGAAAGCTATCTCACAGAAATAATCTGCCTCAGATTTGTCCTTGTTTCTCTTGGAATGAGGAGTTGAGGCACAGGCACTCTCTGGGACTGGGGGACCATTTCTTTTTGTCCTGCAGGCTTCCTGCCCTACTGCTCTGAGGTCAGACAGGACCTGTCCTACTGGCAGCTGTGGCCTGATGATGTGGGCAAACCTCCTGCAACCTTCCACATCCATCACTCACCCCTAGGATGGAGGAAAACCTTTGAAATGGTGTCAGCCACCCTGAGAATCCTCTCTGCTCTTGATTTCTGTCTCACAATGACGGACAGGAGTGGATTGGAAGCTCAGTAATGACTTTCAGTCTGTCTTGTCACTATTCTTCATATCTAAACAGGAGCTCAACACAGATTCCCAGAAGTGTTGCCATTCTTCTTCAAAACCCTTCTCCACCTTTATTCCTCCCAGGTTTGCAGTGCAAGTCCTGGTGCTGGTCAGGCAGTCCAGTTGTGTGACAAAGAAGCTTGCTGACAGCACTCAAATTGTATTTTACTTTAATCAGTGAGCAAGTTCCAGTTCTGGAAGGTTGCAATTTGTAGGATCATAGCCATGCTGCAGATCAGTGCAGTTTGGAAAAGGAATCAGCACTGAAATGCAAACTGGAACATGCTGGTGAAATGACTCCTTGAAGAGGCAGCATAGGAGGAGTAAAAAAAGTTTGGCACAGTGCCATTTGTCTCGATATTTTGAAAAGCAGAGATCATGGCAGAAGCTGATAATTGTCCTTTTCTTTCCCTTTTTTTTTTTCTTCCCCAAGCTTCTTTTCCTCAGGCTTGGGAGTGCATGTCTGCTGGTGTGGTGCAGATATGGATTGCCTGTGGCACTTGCAAGGAGAAGATAGGATTGTGAACTGTCACCATTTGGAGCAGAGGAAAGAGATTTTTTTCCATTAGGGTGATCAGACTCCTGAAACACCCCTGACTCTCCCTACATTTTCCTCTCTTCCTGGCAGTTTTCATAATTTAATTTTTAGCAGTTTTCATAATTTTGTTAACTTGTTTGTTTTCAGAACCCTGAGTTTTATATGGTGTGATTTTCTGACTAAAGCT